CATGCGCTACCACGCCCGGCTGATTTTTTGATTTATTGTAGAGATGAGGTCTCGCTGCCCAGGCGGGTCTCGAACCCGCGGGCTCAGGCAATCCACTCACCCCAGCCTCCCAAAGGCGCGGGATTACAGGCTGAGCCACCGAGCCTAGCTCTTTTCTCCATTTTTAACCAGCAACCTTGCATCTCTCTGACCCAGCTAGGAAGGATTTATTGCTTTTAAGGTGTGATAATCCAGGTTCAGGGCCCTTAACCCTCATCCCATCTGCAGAGTCCCCTTTGCCACGTAAGGGAACATATCCACAGCTCTAGGGATCAAGGCAGGGCAGCCTTCTCGTTCTCGTGCCCAACACTGACCCTTGTGTTTTGCTTCCCTTCCCTCTCAGGTTAGCCCGGCTCAGAAGGACACTTTTGTGGCTGGTGTGGATCCAGCCTGAGACTGGTTTTCAGGGAAAGTGGCTGGGGTGAAGGGCCAGGAGGGGTCTGGCGTGACTAGTGGGGTCTTACTACGCCTTTCCACCCCCATGCCCCTGACCTTCCTTGCTGACATGGCCCTGTGAGTCCCTCGTCTCTAGGCAGAATGTAATCCTCCTGCTAAACTCCTGGGTGGGGTGGCAATGGGAGGTTTTGCCCCTAAAGGCAGATGCTGGCTTGTGTGGGAAGGGGAGCTAGAGGGGACTGGGTGCCTCTTGAACACCCTTAAGTGGTGTGAAATGCAAAGAGGAACTTCTAGACACTCCTGGGCTCCTGCTAGATGCCAATACTGGGCTGTTCTTTTTGGTTCTCTTCACCATCGTCACAATCCTCTGAGGTAGTCGGTCTGGTCTTCAGCTTACCTGTGAGAAAACTCAGGCTCAGAAAAGTAAAGAGATCCGTACAAGGTCACACAGCTAGTCAGGTGATTCTGACCTGGATCTCCTGTTTCCAACTTTAGAGCTCCTTTAAGAAAGCACATGGAAGTCCTTGGTAAGGGAGTACAGACGGGGCGGAGGGGAGATACCAAGGGTGGATTCCACTCCACTGAGGAATGTTCAGTTTCCTTTTCTGTGAAATGAGGAGGATCCTCCTAGGCCCCATGGCTATTGTGAGGAAATCAGTGAGATGGTGGATTTTGATGTGTCCTCAAATACCAGCTGCCAGGTGGCCTTGATCACTAGTATAGTCCCACTCTCCGGTGGATGGCCCTGAAGGAGGGCACAGGGAGCCCAGGTTTGGAATAGGGTCAGTGGCCTAGGTTGAGTCCATGCTCTTGCCCTGAGCTTCTGGGCACGTCTGTACCTTGGGGCGAGGAGGCAGTTGGGTTGGTAAACAATAGCAGTGAAGTTTGGGGTTTTCCTTTGACTAGGCTGGAGGCAGGAAATACAGAGGGCTGTGAATGACGAGTGGATAGGTCAGGCTTGCTCAGGGTGTAAAGGAAATTCAGTTATTTAAGGGAGGGAGGGTAAGGGTGGTGAGGTTGGGGGAGATGGCTGTCCCACTGACCATGAATGTAAGCAAAGCCGGCTGCTCCTCGGGTGGGCCCGAGCTGGGCAGCCACCCCAGCCTCAGCTCCTTCTGGGTTCTGTCTCTTGAAGCCTACATCAGGGGCCCCAGCCACCCAAGGAGAGTCTGGCTGAGTTTGGAAGTAGCTGCGCTGCCTCTTGGAGGGCTCATCAGGCTTCAGCTCTGGGGTCCTTTTTAGTGACTTCACCTCCCTCTCCTCAGCTTGCACTCATTCAGACCAGAGTGGCTAGCCAGCATCCTAGACCGCTGAATATCCAGGCACTTGCTGTATGCCCTGTGCTTCAGGAAAAACAAAGGAAGACCTGGTTCCTGCCCTTGAGGAGCTAGCTGGGGAGACACACAGTACCTGTGTGCCATGGCAAGTGGCCTCGACTTTGCTACATCCATAGGCCTGGGCACATTCGAAAGTGTTCCAGACAGTGAGGGCTGTGTCATCCAAGCCCAGCTGGCACGGGGCAGCCTCTTGGGACCCCAGAGGCTTTAAGACTGGAGTCATGAGGGTGGTAAACACACACACACACACACACACACACACACACACACACACACACACTTTGGATCCTTGTCCTCTGGACAAAGAACTCACATCCATGCCCTGGGTGGGGATGATAGTGGTCTTCCCTCCACCTAGGCATGTGAGGATTAAATGGAGTCATACCTGAACTGAAAGGTGGGGGATGCAAGGATAGGGCCACTGCCCAAAGCTCCAAGCCACCCTTCAGGCAGGTCAGTGCATTGGTCTAAGCCGAAGCTGCTCTATGAAAAGACATTCAGTCACTCTCCAAGAGCAAAATGCCACTTTTGAACCAGCCCATCCTGAGCACCCATTTGGCGTCACGCCCAGTGCTCAGGACTTTGGGTAGCCAGAGGCGAGTGAGAAGTGGGCTTTGCTCCTGACCTCAGTGTGGAGGAGTGGCAGACATTATTATAGTAGAAGGCAGGCGGAATGTTGCTCTCAGAGCTAGGAGCTGCAGGTCGTCCTGGTGCAGAGGTGGACCTATTCTGTCAGACCCAGGGGAGCTTCCTAGCAGCCCTCGAAGCTGGCACTTGACGGACAGGCTTGATGGTAGAAAATGAGGGAACAGCATAGTGGAGAGCTTCCTGCTGGATTTCCACTCTGGTTCCTCTCTGCAGGAGCCAGAGCCTTTCTTCTTCAGTAGGTTCGCTCCTTCTGTCTTCTCTGAGCTGCTGTCTCTGTCTCTCCAGCTTGACATTTGACCCCATGGGTTCTGCCCACAGAAATCTGATGTACTCCCTTGGTGGGGTGCCCTTGTTTTGTTCATTCTACCTCTCCATCTCTAACTTGGATTCCTCTCATTCACGATGTATGTTCCCCCAACACCAAAATTTGGAAATGTAGTCTGACGAGGATTTCACCACTTTAGTTTATTAATTTTTTTTCCCAAAAAAACCGTGCAAAGTTCTACCTTAAACTTAGGCCATTTGTCGTCATGTTTTATGAATCATTATGAAGAATGGTGGCGTTTTATGAAATCGGTAATCCTCCTGGAAGGTGTCAGGGGTGGCTGTGGGTCTGCCTAGCCCCTCTGGCCTCTGCCACCAAAGAGCCTTCCTCATCCCTCCGCTGTCACTGTCCCAACATGACTGGTCAGTATATTGAAAGTGAAACCCTTGGGAGCCTCCCTGGTACAAATGCAAATTACAGTATACTTAGGCTTCCACCCTGTTTATTTCTGACACACGGACATCTCAAACCCAGGGTTACCTTGGACCTCACAGGTGCCCTCTGGAGGGGATAAGTATTGCTCTGAAGGTGAGTTGCTACCCCAGCCTTTGGCTGCAAGTCTTTTGGCTGTCAAGCCTGCAGGATTTCAGATGGGGCTGCTGAGGTAGTGGAACCTGTGTGTGGTAAGTCATTTTTAGGGACCATGCAAATGCATTTGTTTGCATAATTTTCTTGCTCTCAGGGAGAATAAAGTTTCCTATCCCCATCCCACACCCCTGCCAGGATTTGCAAGTGAAATATTGGGACTGACTCTCCCCCTTCACAAGTCTCTTGGTTTTGGTTTTGTCTCTGAGGCTCTGTGTGACCAAATGCTAGGGTTAGCCTCTCTGATCCTAGAGCAGTAGTGTTCCTGGGATCCTGACATGCAAAGTATCTGC